AATGATGTACTCACAGTGGCTCAACACTCCTGATGCAGATGTAGTGCACTCGAACAAGCACAGCTGACATCCAAACAGGGCACTGAAATACTCACATTTCTTTAATATACCAGGATCCCGTGAGCAGCAGAAATACTGCATCTTTCCAAGATGACTTATTAGAAGTGTTTTGGACATGGGAACTGGCCTTAAACAATGCTTAGTTGAAGGGATAGGACACTAAAACCTGAATAAATCAGTTTTTCAGCCAATAGCTTAATCATGTGTTTTGACTCAGCACACATTAACAAAAACAAAATACTAAAATTAAAAAACAAAACAACAAAAAACACCAAACATATCCCTCTTCCCATCTTAGATCTTTAAGATAACATTTTTATCATCAAAAACATTAATTTCTTGGGGGTTTTTTCTTTGATAGCAAGATAACTCATGCTCTGACACTTATGATATAAAATTCAAGTGAAGGTAAAGGCATGAGCAGCTGAGGTGTTTTGTGTGTTTGGGGGTTTTTTTTGAAACCCGAGGTACCCAGGCAAGCCCAAGAATATACCAATGTCAGCTTGCTGCCAATCTCACCTAGGTATACCATAATAAAAATTAAAGTCTTCAGTAAAATTTTATAGCAAAATAGCCAGTGAATTGTCCCAACATAGCATCACACCCATTTTGGTACCAAAAATGTGTATTTTTTTCCCGTTCATATCATTCTGTTGGACTTTCAGAAAATAACAAGCTATACTCATTTATGTATTGTAAAAAGCTGTTTCTTTGTTTTGTTCTTGCAGTTTAATTAACAACAAGTTTTTCCTTGCCTTATTTTTACATAATGAGGAAGCAAAAAAGCCCCAGGTCCATCTTTCCACCATGTTTTTACAACATACCATTAAAAGAATGCTATTAAAACAGTCAAACAACAATTAAGAAATTGCTAAGAGAAAGGTATGTTAAGCTTTATGACACCGAGGAGAGCCAGAGAGACAGTAATGGACACCTAAAGTTTTAAGAACTCAAAATACAGGAGGTTGCCTGACTGAACCATCAGCTGATGAGTCTATCATCAGTTCTAACTCCAGCAGTCATGACTTCTCAGTGGCCATCACTAACAGGTTCTAAAAATAGTTGATACATACCATGAGGCCTAGCAATTCCTGAACGGACACATACAAGAGACAGCAAGATATAGAAGGCCACCTTCAAATGTTGTCATGGCATTGCCACAAACATCCTAAAATGCTTTGGAAATCATCTCCTTGATATTAAGTTGTGATTCTCTCAGATACAATTTATTTGACTACATGACAACTTTTTGCTTCTCCACAGGCTGTAATGACAAGATGCGGTATTGAAAATATTCTTAAAATTAATACTAGATATCTGAGAAATCTAGAAAATAATCTTACCATTTATGTATCCATTTAATATAGTAATTAAATTATAATGCATACTTCCTGTTCATGCTGTAACAGTCGGTCAAAGTAAAGCAATGCTTTAATTTAAGAGGATGCTTTAAAGAACAAGGAACTGTTGTTTACTCTAAGGGTACCTGATCCTGTCCATACTTACATTCTGAAATGTGCCTTTGAAGACAAAAAATTTGGCAGTCACCTTACAATTGGACAAATACTTTAAAAACAAACAAACCAACCCCCAGCCCCCCAACATTTTCATCTTGTAACAGCCTCACTTTCCAATCTGCTGAGCACCCACCATCTGAGGGGAAGCACAAGTTCCCAACCCTTTCAGTTAAGGGGTGAGTTAAGTCCCACTGTCAGTATTCAGAATTTTTTAGGCACTTCCAAAACTAGCCCCAGACATTTTCAAAAAAGGGACTTTTTGTTCTGAAGAAACTTCTGAGATTACTCTATGGCAGACAGTGAAAAGAAGCCAAGATAATTCCTCCTGGCCATTTACTCTGATCTGCCATAAAATTTACATGGACACAACAAAGCCAATAAAATCAGACAACACCTTTCTCCCCATTGGGCCTGTGTAGGTCATAACAGAAGGACAGAGAAATAAGAATTTTTATTAACCTTATTCCTAAAAAGCCAAGTTATATAATTTTTCTCTTCTGTATTTCTTTCACTTTGAGTTCACCAAAAATTACATTTGCTCTTCCAAAAAGGCTCTCTTTAGAGAGGGTCAGTAAAATGTGATCAAAAGATCAAGTTTAACTGAGTTTCACCAAAGCATTAAATGTAACTATTAACTAAAAAACACTCTTGTGTTTGCACAGTGCCCCTTCTCCAAAGATCCCATGCTACCTTCCCAAGTCTCGCAGGAAACCTGCCAAGTATTACCTTATCCATTGTATAAGCTGGGTTGAAGAGTTCAAGGTTGCTGCTAAAGATTACAGAGCCATACCCCAACCCTTTCTAGGCCCCTCTGGAAGCTGTGTAGAGCTCAGTGACCGCCGAAGGTTCTGGTTCAATGTGCAGGTACAGCCCCTCACACCTGAGTGCTAACTTATCTAGAATTGGTATTCAAGGTTTCTGCCTTACGGAGTCCTGTGATACAGACATATTCAAACAACGTCTGTAACAACAACAACAACAAATGTAACAAAAAGGAGTTATTGCAGATTTGAAGTGCTGTCATGTCTTGTCATCCACAAAGGAAGGAGTTGATCTAGAGGCATGAATGTGCACCCTTTTGAGATGTTACCCAGAGCATTTCAACAGTAACGCTAGCCTGATACCCAAATCTTCCAGGGTTTACTTGTTCAATGTTTATTTTGCTATGTTTTAAGACTAAGCACAGATACTCGGAATGAGATTATCATTCCTAGTCAGTTGTATAAACTTGCTGAAATTTTTGCAATCTCATTGTGGAGATTTTCAAATCCAGACAGTCGGTGTACCTGAATAGAACCTCATGTGTTAGAGAGCAACACCTTTAACAATTACATAAATCATACAGAGAGAACTGAGTTGATGTGTATTTCCCATAATTCTGCTAGGGGGATGAAGTTCTTAAATTGATGGGTTTACTTTAAGAAAAATAAATAAAAAAGCATTAAAACCCCCATAAGAATCTCAACATTCCTTGAGTCCCTGTCTCTCTCTGAGGAGGTTTACAGTGTTCTTCTGTTTTATAGGTTATTTTGCTGTTTAGAAAATAGCTCCTAATAACACATCATCTTAGCTAGCCACAAAGCACCTCCAAAGAGTTAAATTACATACAAGAAAGAAGAAAACCCATCTCTCAGCTGTAGTTATCTTCAATTTAGTTAAAGAGACAAAAACGGTATCTGTGTTACCGATATTTTCGGTATCACAGGTTTTAGGTTCCACTGTCAGAACCAGCACACAAAACTGAGCTTGAACTAAGCATGTGCCATTACGGACATCGATGAAACAAGCTAATGCTTTGTGGCTGCTTTTACACACTCCAGTGTATGTTTTTGTTAAAAGACATTTTTAGGATGCTCATTATAAAGTAAATAGTACCAAATTACCTGGGGAATGAATACTCTTTCATTCATACAGATAAAATTGGGGTATTCCATCCTGAACAGTATCACTTACCTTGTTCATTTATAGAGTACCAAACACTACAGAATCCAGAGCTGAAACTACATCTACACAATTAGTTCTTCCAAGACTCACTGTGTTTATAATGAACAAAATTCATGATAGCATATACAGGTTATAGAAAGCAGTTTGCAATCTCACTGAAATGTGTAACTTCACTTAATGCCCTTCTTCCCTTTCCATCACACTAAAATTGTTAACTTCCTTAAAAATATTCATTCCAGTCTGAAGGAACGTTACCCATAAATATCTCTAGCAGCACTGACCACAAGACTAGGTCACCAGTTCCACTACACATGAATAAGTACTCCATTACAAAAACAATACGAAAAATTTTCATCATTGCAAAGGTCAGGTTTTTTAGGATCTTATTTCTGTGGAATGGAATAAAGATGATAAATTTGCCTTAAATGGAAAAATGAGAGGAAAAAAAGAAAAAAAAAGAAAGTATTATAACTTTCTAACTCTTACTGACAGAGTGAACTATAAAGGCTTTGGTAAATTGGAGCTGAAATAAGCTTACAAAGATCTTGGGAGTCCTTTCACTTTTGCTTGTTCAGAGCTCTTAGAAGAACACTACACAGCAATGAATATCTGCAGTGCTGAAAATAGGAAGACCTTGGCAGGTATTGTGGAATTAGCCTGAAATATGTAAATACAATTGACTTTTTTCCTTTTCACTAAAGATTCAGAATTGACCACTGAATTAGGAAATAACAAGAATATCTGTTTGAAGAACAGAAAAAATATGAAGACCAACAAGTGTCCATTTCATATAACAACATACTTTTGGTTCAGGTTATTCTCCAAGGGAAGTTATAAATAGAACAACCCACTACCATGCTTATACTATTGCAAACTTAGTTACCAAACATGCTTTTCACCTGCAGCAGTACTGGCCCACTGTAAGTGAGAGAACAAAGTCCATGTCCCAGTTCTGGCCTTTTTCCCTTTGGCTGCTGGGGCAGTGGGTGACGGAGGTGATAGTAACATGCTCAGCACCTGGAGGGAAAAAGTGCCGCATGTCCCACACCAATAATTATGAATCCTTAAATCTACTGGAGTCATTATAGAAGGCATGGCACTTTAATCCCTCGTTTAAATAAGCACAGCCACTTTGTAGATGTTTGGTTACTTTGCTCAGTTTCCACATCTAAAGACAAAAAAAAATTGTCATTCATTTTGAAATACAAATTCAATAACCATCATCGCCTTCTCTGTTCTTGGTCTGTTGCAGCTCGGCAAGCCTTAACACAGCTCAGGGAGCGATGCCAATATTAAAACTCAGGTAGCATTGTAAGTATACACTTATCATCATCATCTGACCCTTTCACAGCATAAATTAAGAATGTGGCATTCAAAAACACTTCCAAGCAAGAGATACGAATGCGCTACTCTATCAGTGTGTTAGTGGGTAAAGACACAGACATACATACAGAACATCAGTAATATTTTTTTCCTTACTTGGCTTTACTTGCTCTTCCTGTGCTATTCCAACATCATCAGAATCAGACAATTCCTTTATGAAGTTGGAAGGAAACATGCCAGTCTTTCCATTGAGTATACCTTCCCACCAGCCCTCTTCTACCTGCACCAAGACAAAAACAAAAAAAAACGGGTTTCAACATAAGCAACACTTTACAGAGTTACATTATATTCATGATTTTCAGTAACAATGACAGTAATGATTTTGAGCAGCTTGTATTAATTTCAGGTATAAGGACCACATGGCATAGGCTCCAAGCCACAACATCTCTCTTTTTTTTTTTTAAGTAAAAACAAGAAAGATGCATACACTCATCTTAAATGTCAGCAGTGCTGACAGCAGTCAGAAGCATGGACGAGCATTAAATAAAAGGATAAAAGAATAACCAGAGAGCACACGGTGTCTCCACATTTCAATTTTTATGGATATCAGTTCGATCACTAAATTTTCAGCGCACATCATACTCCTATTCATGACCATCTTCTTAATGTATGTGTTTTACAGATTATAAGAGTTTAAATTCCCTAAGTAGTCAGTGGTGAAAGAGAAATGCCTGCAAAGGGCTATTCAGAGAATCTAAACCAAGTATCTTAAAATAAATCATGTGAATATTCCTGCCTTCCCCATCAAAATCAGAAATTCTCTATTTTAAAAGTTAAAAATGTTGCTACATCGTTAATGTGTTAATGTAAGAACTCTACAAAGAACAAAGAACAGTACTACTGCATATTTGACTCTAGATTTACAAAGAGCTACTGAAATACATAATAATGATATGGTCAGAAGGAGGAGAGACACGTCCTAGCCCAATCCCAAGAGAAAATACCACTTAAAAATGACAAACTCCCTCCTGTATAACCCATTCAGGATTGAACGGCAGTGTCAGGCAGTGAAATGACAGCCCTTAGAAAGCAGATGCCTTTAGGTTATAATGGGGCAGCAAGAAATGACTTATTATATGCATCAGCTAAACACACCCTTGACAGATAAATATTTTTCATCTGTCAGACACTGTCCATTCACCAAAAAAAACCCAGGGGAGGACAGTGTCAGTCTGTGACACATCAGTCTCCAATAATGTTTGACCCATCTCTTTCATGCCCCCACAACAAAATCATGACAACAGAAAATTAACTTTACAAGTTGAGGGTGTTCACGTTTACTGTTAAAAAAACAACCCCACATCTTAAGTGGTACTAGTTAATTATTATTAAAAAAAAGCCTGTTTCCTATCACTTATCCATGAAAATCTTAGGTTCTTAAAAAACAAATCTGTTCTTTAACATGTTTAATTATATAACACAAGCAAATATTTCCTCAAACTATAGAGGAATGGTTGAATTTCTTTCAACTTAGCTACATGTGCAATTTTAGTACAAAGCAAATTGTTGTTACTCCAGGAATGTTTCCTGTGCTTTCTCTCCATCTTCATCCTCTTTAGCACATTTCTTGTCTTCCTGGATTGATTTTTTGTTTTAATTGAAAGCAGCTGAGACCAGCACAGCTACTTCCATTTAACCTCAGTACCTGTCCATGACAAAACTTTTTTTTTTTTTTTTTAAATGCATCAGTAGTATCAGTGAAGTCAAGCACAACTTTGGGAATGTGGCTATTATTTTGCTGATACTTCAGAGGGTAGAATACATACAAATCACTCCATGACTCCAGTGGGGTGCAGGTCTTTCACATGATAGTCTTAAAGTCTCTCAAAGGTAATATTTGCTTTTGTTCTCTCCAGACAAATTAAAAACTATATGGAAAACTGAAACTGCATGATCCACAACACTTAGTAGACCCTACAAATTATATCTCTAAATACCAATATGTTATATACCATTATGTAGAAAACACTCAACACGGCCAAGACACTTTGAGCTATGAAATATTTCAATTTTTCTAATGCAGTATTCCCAGATGGCTCTATTGATTAGAGCTAAACATTAAACCATAACTGCATTAGCTGATTGACCAGAAGATTAATCACAGGGGAATTACACAGTTCCTAAGAGCCCTGCTTACAAGATGCTGTGAATTACTTTACAGAAAAAAGGTGACCAATACCACTCAGTTCCATCTTTACCTCAAATCATTTTCTCCTGCTTACTTCTTCCAGGGTAAAACTTCACAGTTTTCTTACAAGTTAACATCAGCACTCTTTATGTGGCATGTTTATGTATGGATCTCTATGTACGTGTATAGAAAAACCCACATACAAAGATCTTTAGACAGGTAAATCTAAATTGGATGTGAATATACTCACAGCATTCATTAGCTTATTACAAGTTTTCCAGCTGATACAAGAATGAATTATCTGAAAATACCATGTCATATTCAGTAATTTTACAAATTCAGAAAAATCTAAAGCAAAACCCAGATTTTTTCCACAAGAAAATGCAGAATTATGTTAGCAAGACATCAGAGGTTCAGGTCAAACTGGGCCTCCCAAAGATTTATTAGGAAATTTTCATCAAAAACATCAAAAGCTTTAAGTATTTTTAAATGCTATAGCTACATGCTATGTACTTTTAAGCCTCAAAACACACCAGCTAGAGATTAATCCATACAATAAAGACACTAAAATACCCCCCAGGTTTTCATTATCCCAAATTGGGGCAACCCATTGCCATATGGTTTGAAATGTCACAATAATTTCCAGCCAATAAAACCTTACAAATGAAAATCCATTATTCATAGGGGTAATCCATCTGGAGGTATGAGCACTCAATAAAATTTGTTACTATACCATTATAACAAAGTGCTTTCAGGTTTTGTACATCTAGGTCCTGATTTATGCCCAGCATTCATGTGCTGAACCAAACAAACTAGAAAGAAGAGGATTTCATTCAGTAGCCCATGTCCCTACGCCAGAAAAGAAGTTCTACTGTTCATAATAACCTACACACCAATCGTAAGTTCAGCCTGAAAACGAAGTTTTGGGTTTTAAGTTAGAAGAAGAATCTTTCTAATCTGCCAAATGTAAGTGGCTACAGCTAGAGGTATTTTCAAGACGTGTTTTCAATGTGTTGTATCTGTTCACTGCCTTTCGGAGGGCATGGCATGTCCTCATCTTGCCCAGCCCCTAGGCTGCCCGTACTGCTGTCACACCACATTTGGAGAGCAACAACATACAGGAAAGTGACTGAAGATACTTCATTACTCCACTTCATGTATTTAGGGAGGTAACAACACATGCACCCAACTGCAACTCAGTCAATGCCAGGCGTGGGGCAGGGACAGATGCACTAGCAGACAGCTATATGCAGTCCAACGCCTGGATGTGATTGGATGAGATATGAACTACAGTATCACCAGAGAATGGTGCATCATCTCTAGAGAAATACACCCCATTAAGAAGCCTTGCCTTTGGGGTTTAAAGGGAAATTTAGTCTAAATATAATTATGCAACATTCAAATGTTCTTCTAATATCACTGGGCTTTGGGTTTTTTTACATTTTCAATTAAGAAAGAATACTTGTATTTTGGTTTTAATTGAATTACTCAATCAGTGGAGCCTCTTTTGATGTAAATGAGGTTTTTGGAAACTATAAACCGAACACAGATGAAAATCATTCAAAATATAATGTTCTACTTTGTTGGAAAGTGAGGGTTTAATCAAATTGTGAGATCCCAGCACACAATAACAACCCAGACTAGAAAGACAGTAAGAGGTTGTAATAGTTAATTTTACTTACGAATAATAATGTAACTAAGAAATAATAATTAAGTACTCAAAATAGATACCATGGAAGTGAACAGACAGGAAAATAACACAAAGAATTATGTGGGTGAGACATTCAGACACACAAACAAGAAGTTCTCAAAAGGGTATACAGATGCTAGAACATTAAGCTGCTTAGAAATCAACAAAAATTTATTGATATCAGCCTATTCCCATGTTTAAAGTACAAAAAAAAAGGAAAAAGAAAATAATACGACAGCAGTTCAAGCCTTCAGGCGAACATAATAGTTCTATTTCAGACTGGGAATGCAGTTTTATTCTGTAACTGTAAAGCAACCAAAGAAACCAAAACTACTTCAGTAGGTCACTAGGACTACAAAATTAAGATATTCCATATTTATTTTCTTTAGGTTTTCTCTTCATGGCCAATACAATCTGCAACATCCCCCTTTAAAGAAAGAAGTGTCAGAGGGAGCATCAGGCTGACCTGCAGTGCAATAATCCTTGTTGCTACAAGCCTAGAAGCACCTTCCCTTGAGGGAACTGGGCAGCCATCCCTGTAACTCCAGGATGGGATACCCAAAAAGAGCAGGAAATGCTGAGGCGAACTACCAGCAGTTGCTTGCCAGACTACCTAGGATTGCCACAGCTGCTTGCTTACACCTTGCTATATAATTAGTATGCTAAAATTGTCAAATGATTAAAATGTTTGGGTCTTTGGAATCGCTGACGTAAAGTGTGTTTCCAATAAACTCCCGTATCTGCCTGTTCCGCAAGATTTTCTACAACCTGCAGCTTTGCCTATTAGGCTGACTACGTACAGCTCAGCTAGGGCAAAGGAGGGAAGCTTTGAGTCAGAAAAGGTTTCAGGTGGAAGAAAGTCTCCCTGGATCACAACAGTCCTTCTGGGCTGTTAAAACTAAGACACGGTCCCAGGAATAAAAGCAATGCCAGAGGCAGGCAATGGGAAGGAGAGAAGCCCAAGGTCAACAAATTTTCTTTTGCTTAGAGAGAACTAGAGCACAAAAAGCAAAGGAAAAAACTCCCTTATTTTATAAATTCTAATGAAAGATCTTGAGCTTGAAGGACAAAAGCAATAGTATGTTGAAAGGAAATTAAAAACATAGATTCCCAAGAGGCAAAATAAACAAGTCATATTCACTGCCAATGGGAAAAGAAATTTTGGAAACAAGACCTCAACAGAAGATGGTGCCTACAGTGCCACTTGATGGCTTACTCTGGGAGTGCATTCAGTGAGAGTCACACCCATGAGACGTCAGCCAGCCCTTGGGCTTCTGCTACAGCACATCTGGAAGCTGTTTGATAACTCTGGTGCAGAAGGGAAGAATTAAAAACTGCACAAGTACCTTGTATTAGGGGATCTTTTCAGCTTCAGAGTTCTTTATTTTACAATGTCAAAATGTGCTTGGGGATTTTTTTCATTTGTTTTTTTGTGGTTTGGGTTTTTTGCTGGTTTTTTTTTAACATCATCTTCTAAGTAAGAAACTGAGGGGCAGAGAAAGCAATCACATAGAACTGGAATGACCCTATAAAGAGTCAGAGGTATTTGCATCCTTATTTCCACAAAAAAGCCTCCTACCACATGAACTAACCAAACAAGCAGTAGTCATAGAAGTCCTCGTGAACCACCTGCTGGAAGAGGATCAGGAAAAACACCTTACCACATGATTTCACAGAAAAGTAACCGAGGGACGTGGAACCCCAGCATTCATTCCCAACTGTTTTCTTGCAGTATTATACAGTTCTGTACTTGTGGCACAGACCGTCCCCTTGCCACTATTAAATATTCCCCTTTCAACTCTACAGCTGTCAAAATAAGTTACCATAAGGAAAGTCCAGCTCAATCCCCAGTGTTTATCCTGTTCTTGGAAACGGGTTGAACCACTTTATCTTATAACAACAACAAAACCCCACCAACCTTGCCCAAAAGGAGAACCAGATCTTTAAAAATTCACCCTGCATTTTTATAATTTCAAATGAGTTACTTACAGGATTTGATCATCTAATATATGGCAATGTTAACTAAAAGTCAAAGAATAAGCTCAGTGTCATGTCTCAGTCAAAGACTTAGTTGTGAGCTTAACTCCATGCACTACACATTGCCAAAAAGCTGACTTCTCAGCAGGATGAGGCCTCAAGGTATATAGCAGCACAACGACAGAATAATCCCAAATGAAAGCAGGCTCAGAACTATTGAATGCCATGCCAAATGTCCTCACTATGATGCTACAGGTTAATTGTCTGGCACCCCATGAAAGTCTAAGGGTGAAACATAATTGGAATTCAGATATCTGCATTTAATATGACAATTAGTTACAGTTGTATTTTGGGACAAATGTAATTAGAGTTATAGCTAATGAGCTAGGAAAATGACAAGCAAAAAGCTATCAATCACATTAAATGTGAACGTAAACAATGAAAATGCTCCTCTTGTTAGTTTCAAATGTACTTTTAATTTGTCTGTTAATTAATGTCTCATGGGTATCAGTGTCTGTGTAGTTATGGAAACCTCTAGTTTAACAACAAGCATTTTTATCTGTTGTGATGAATGCCTGACCTTATTATAATTAATTTCTAACTATTTAGAACAAATAGGAAGGAACTGTGAATTCTGAACATATACAGCCTCCAAGGATACCTATCTGGTGACAAGCCTAGCATCTCAAAACTCACACTTGCTGTTGCTCTTGTTTCAATCCACTGTACAGCTCCAAACCACTTCTGCCACAACAGGAATTTCCAATAGTATCTACCACTACCACAGACATAAAAACCCTTTCAAAAAGTATCTTATCCAACCTGTTGGCACCAGGAAGAAGGATGTGGGGCAGCTTTAGATGCTACTACAACTCAGGGGTTGGTTAGCACGCTGAAGCAGAGGCGGGAGAAGGGAAGACATCCTCATCCTCAGCATGTCACCATGTGCTATCAGTGCAACCCATTTTCACTGGGGTCTGGGGAAACATGCTTGGGCACTGATGGAGGCAGCTGAGGAGAAGACTTGCATTCCCTTCTGCCAACCCTTTGTTGGAGGCAGTGACCTTCAAGAGGTTTGAGGAGGAGCACAACCCATTTCTTTAAGGATGAAGCCAAATTAGCACAGTACAACAGGAACCAGCTTTTCTTTGCAACAGGAAAAATTTAATGGGTTGTCAACCATAAGTGACATTTTAAACACATTTTTTGCTAAATACCCGCATAAAGATATATACACAGTATTTTGATCTGAACAATATCCATTTCAGTTTGCTGTAGGTCAGATAGGAATCGATTTTTTTCCAACTAAACAGAAATCCACAGAGATTTGAAAATATTAATCTAAGTCAATTTAAAACCAATTAATTCAACTGATGCAACTTTCTTAGGAGTATACAGTAAAATACTACCTGTGGGAATCTGAGACCTTCTACTCATGAGAAAGAGAAAGGAGCAACTGGAAATGGAAAGTGAATGACCATTAATGTTCCAATTACCCACTGAACCACTGTAAATAACGCTGAAGATGCTGTCATCCAGTTTTTCATCTTGAGTAACGATAAACAAAATTGGTATTTTGCAATAATTGCCTCCAATTGTCGCCTATGTGGGAGGGTTTTTTTGCTGTTATTTTGGGGGTTTTTTTGTACACTAACACAGCATGATTTTGGCCCTTGCAAAAAAATCTTAATTTTCACAACTGAGGAAGCCATATTATTTAAATAATAAGTCCCTCACATACATTTACCATTTGAAATAAGGACCATTGTGTAATTACATAAACACTGTGAATCCTATTTCAGTGCAATGACTCTTTATGCAGCATTACCTACAAGCAGAAGGGTAAACAATGAAATCAGTACATTGGTTGGTGCAGCTTTCTACATCAAATAAAGTTTCTCTTTCAAAAGAAAAATTCTGCCCTACTGTTTCGAGGAATTAACACTACTATGATAAGGGTAGAAGAGGAAGTAATAACAGGAATTATTCAACATCAACTGCTTGGTATCAACCATGATGGAAAAAAAAGGTCACACAGAAACACTTCCTGAGGTGCTGACAATTTTTTCTCTAAATTCCTTTATTTTCCCTCTTTCACCAGCTGATCTAGTCCCACCCAGAAGAGTCAGACAATGTCCTGGATCGCATGAATGCACCAGGTGATGCCTGAGGCAGAGCTTATGTTTCAGTAGCTCACAGAACAGGGTATTTTATAAGGTCAAAGCGGGCACAGCCTCACCTGTGTCAGCTGTTCTTCAGCATTTACTTATGGCCAGCAGTTCAAACTAGCCATGAGCAATCCTCTTCCACGCTACAGTAAAACTAATTCCAGTATGCCATTCTCCAGGACTGCCAATCAAAAAAGCAGCCCTAGACAATATATTTTCTTAAACCTTTGAATCAGCAAGTTGTCAATGCTTTCTTCAACAGTGGTAATTCAAGGCACAATTATGAGTTTAAGACTACCAAGTCTGTAATCAGCAATCCAAGTGGGTTTCAAAAAACGTGCCCTTAACTATAAGCACACACATGCAAGTACAGGAGTGCTTCAGTTTCACAGTTCTACATCTTTCAATTTTAATGCAAACATTTTCAGTCTCATTTGGATTTAAATAAATCTGTTATTTAGAATTAAGTTCAAATTTATAAGAAGACAAGAGATGCATTTCATAAGAGAAGTCTAGTGTCTCATCTAAATTATTTAATTATACAATTCATTTGGTACAGTTAATTTGTTGGCTGGATACTAGGAAGGGGTTTTATTCTATCACTTTACTCTTGAAAGACACAGACTTAAAGTTTTAAGTAAGGCAACTGACGGAAGATATTTGTGTGGCCATGTGAGGTTAAATATACTTCAAATTGCGCAATGAAAACAGCTCATGTGCTGTCGTGAAACTCATTATAATATTGGGTTTACATTGCCTTCAAAATATGCTCTCAAATATCTTACAGCCTTAACATCCCCCATTACGATTCTGCTCACAGACAGAATAAGGTTAGTTAGAGTGACACATCATGTCTGATCCCAGGAAGAACGATGTGCAGAGCTGGCATGTGCAGCTAGGTTAAAGGAGAACCAGTGATCACTAAGCCTTTTACATTCAGATGTGAGAATTTAATCTCTCATATGAAAATGCTGGATGTCATGTAGATTGCAGTAGAATTTATATTCTTTTAGAACTGATTTCTTAAGTGACAGAGGCAGGAAAAAGAAAATGAATCACATATCCTTGAAAAGAAAATAAATGTTGACTTATTAGCTGCTGAGTCACAGGGAAAAAAATCCTACAAATAAACGATACAAGCTGAAACACACCTTTTATTGGCTGCTTGAGCAGACTAAGCTCTTAGATCTTTTTAAAGCTAAGTAAAGACTCAATGAGTTTTAATGCATTCTACTTAAAGGCTTCATGTTAGCATTTTGACTTTTGGTCCGCATGGTATTAAGCTCAAGAAGGTATTTCTAAAATCTCTAATGGAACAAAACTGAATGTATTGGGAGTGAACAGCATTCCTTGATCCTGCAACCAGATTCACCCATGCAAAGAAAATTTATGTATCTCTTCTGTCCAAGCTTTCGTAATTCGTTCCCAGTCCTTCCAAGAGATGTGCATTCATTTTTCACATCCATTTCCACTCAAAATAAGTGCATCTTGAGTCTCTAAAGAATTTGTTGGGGGTATTTTTGTTTGTTTTTAAAAAAAGATAAAATACGATTACACTAAAATGAAACTGTTAAATTTGCAGGCAAAGGTGACAAAAGGTGAATGCCATGGTTGAACTCCAGAGGGCTTCAAGTAAATTTCTTAAATGTGTTTAACTCCATAAAGATAATTCTTCCCTGTGGCTGGCTTCCTAAAACTGGGAAGAGCTTTTTCTGCTATAATCTTGGTTCTTCAGAGATACAAACTCAATAGCCCTGTAGCACAAACTTTGAGCTTGTTCCCTGAACAGAACTCAGAAGCGTCAATTGATCGAGTAAAACCAGCAGAAGTGCCACAGGGAAAAAAACCCTCACGAAATCCGTAAGCAAACAACCACATCTCGTCACCCCCAACAGTAACCCAAACCAGACACATCAGTATACCAGAGAAGAAAAAAGTCTGGTTTAAATTCTGTCTTAGAACACTGTGTATCTAAGAGCTTAGCATTCACAAGATATGTCAGAACTGCATGTGTGTATATTCCATTAAAGATCTGCTCACCTCTCCCACAACTTCAATGATGTCACCAACTTTTAATTCCAGTTCATCTTCATTTTGAGGCATATAACTGAAAGCCACCTGACATCTTCTTCTTCTGTTCCTCTCTCCTGGTGGAAATGAAGGAAACAGGGAAATTGTAAAATGAAAACAAAATTCCATGCCAAACACAAGTCAGGGGAAATGATTAAAGATGAAATATTATTCTTTGAGCACTATTAAAAGAATCTGCATGTTTGCAATGCTTAGTATATCTGCCTAGAATTAATTTACAAAAAGAGGGTGGAGAAAAGATTTCTGGTGCATATTATTTCTTTCAACTATTTTTATAATTCAACGCAATTAATAAATGAAAATAAATTGTGGGGATTTTTTCCTTTCTGTAATATTATTCAAGAGACAAAATCTAACTAATAGATTGTGCTTCCTAGTGACAGGATGGACAAACTTTACCCAGAAGATCTTTCCAGGTGTATTTGCTACAATTTCTCTTCTAGGCTAGCACTCTATACACATGGTGTAGGCAAATACAGAAATTGGGGGGGTGGGGAAGGGATCCAAAACCTTGTGGCTTTTGCTCATACGGAAATAAGCTCTCAACTGATTATTTTGTCCTGTATCTTTTTCTCCATAATTCTTTCACAGGTGTACAAATATCTCACTAACCTTTTTTTATATATATTTACAGATATATACACATGTATGTATACACGCATATTTGTAAGGTGCATATTTATGCACTAATAACAGATTAAAGAAAATAGAAGGAAAACCCATCCCAAAGGACCCCCAAAGCTAGCTCTGTCATTGGGTTAGTGTGGTTAAGACAGGCTAATTTTGATAATCAATCAGCTACTGGAAATGATGTTACCAGCCATCTTTCTCTTCAGCTTGGGCATCCAGGCTCCCATGAGAAGCTGGTATGAGGATGCATCTTTGGATGCACGACTGGAGAGAAGCTTGAATTCATAGCTCTGAATAAGAGTAAGACCCCTTACTTGACCCTTCTGCCATCATAGTTTTAAGACAGACAGATAAGTGAAAAGATTCAGTTCCAGAGCTTTGTTTGCCGGATCCACTGGCTTACGTATAATTATAGTCGTATGATTCGTAGCAGAGCGGATTTGAGAACTTCCCTAAATTAAGTTGCCGAAGCTTGCTGCTCAGCCTCTATTACCTGAAGGACAAATTACTGACATGAATCATGACCACGTTGGAATATGGTGGAGGAGGAGAAGGTAGGAAGAGAGAAATCATTCAGAACACAGGATTCACTGATTACTCCCTCTTCTCTAGAAGATGTGCAATGTATAAACCATACTATGTCGTATTATTTATATACATGTATCCACACAAACATATATACACACACTCTACACAAGTAAATGTACTTTCTCTTATGCTATTTCTCTTAACTGTTAAACATGCTCAATACACACCAAAATCAGTTGTGTAAACACTGTCCAAAACCAGCCTTAATCTGACATCAAATTACAAAAATACATCTTATGGTCAGTCTATTATTACCCCTGCAACATTTCTTGATAATCCTGCTCTATGGCGAACAGTAATAAAAAGTTACAGAACTTTTCTAATCTATTAAATGAAACTAGAGAAAGAAGGGAGAAGGGAAGCCATTGAATTTGGCTTTCTGACAGTATTTTTCACAGCCACTGCAATCCTGCATGAGTGGCAGCTTTTTGAATGTTAAAATTAATACCTTAATGCAATGTAACCAAACTCACTCAAATTGGCTCTTTTTTCCACCTACAGATGGCTGTTCGTTCTTCACCATCTAAACTAAAATGGTCCTAAATTGACAACTTTACACAGCTGCATTCAAAATAACTTAAATATAATAAATACCTTCCATATTGAGTGCTCCTTTCATTTTGCAAAAGAGGCTGGCTATTTTCCCTAAAGATAACATTCCCACTATGATTTCTAACATCAAGTAGCAACTGATGTGCTGATGTTGCCTGATGTGACAGATGTCAGTTGCCACCCTATTTAATAATCAATATTGTGTGACTCTTGGAGAATACTTTTGAGATTGCTAAGAGAGTAAGTAATAAACACAATTCTAGATGTTAATAGTAGAACTGTATGAATCCTTCCCCCTCCCACCCCATAAAGTTTTTTTATTACTGTATAGAAAATCTAGTGAAAGTCTGCATTTATCTCCATTAGTCTCACGGCTGTGTCCCTGCTCTCCCTCTCCTCCCGAATCTTTCTCTAAAGAAATACTTAAGTGGAGAGTAGCAAGCCAACAAGAGGCATAGACTCTATGCGCCAACTAGTTCCTCTCTCTGGCCTAATGCAAGACAACAGATCCAGCAGTGAATCCCTTTGGTTTTAAGGCGAAGGTGCTGCTGGACCCCATGTGCATGCTAACGTTTGGAGCACTCGAGCAGAGCACGAGTTGTGTGAAGAGCTCTACAGCCGAGGGGTATCTGTTTTTTCTTACACTAAAGCAACCTAGGTAATACAGCAGTGTGAGTCTTCTAAGAAAAGAGAGCTGATAGGAAAAGAAGTCAGAGTGACCAAGCAGTGCATATAAAAAAACTGTTAGTAAAGAAAAACTCTGGGTTTGCAAATGCAATATTCCCACCCCAGCATCACCGATTTTTTGCCTGTTTCTTAACTAGCACAAAGTGTCCAAAGGCAGCGTGGCCAGGAACCAGAAAGACCAGCTGGGACAACTAACAAGCAGTTTAGACAGAAACACTGAAGTCTTGGTCTTCTCTCGCCATTTCCCCTTTTGCTAATATTGCCACTTATTGCAGAGTATTATTACAGTCTATGCTTTAACTGCTAGTCATCTGAGATCTACGTGGCGCACTGTGACTTTAAAACGTAAGTAATTTGACCGATTGATGTAAAGTTAATTATAAACCATATAGGGCAGCAATTCTGCAATGAAGACTGCAGATACTTTCTGATCTAATCCATTTTTTTCTTACTTGTATATTGATGAAGAAAATATTTTGTAGGGGTTTTTTTGCATTTTTCTCCACACTTGAGCACAAACTGAGTTACTTGCAAGTGAAAAGTTACTGAGTGGCAAAAAGGCAGGTAATAAGCCCAGTACTTTAAAATCAGAAAAGGTGTGCTGCAAAGTCCTCACTGGGTTTTGAAAGGCTTAAAAGAAGAAAAAAAAAGGAATCCATGAACTTTAACTGGCCCATTGTCGTGGTTTAACCTCAGTCAGCAACTTGAGCACCACGCAGCCGCTCGCTCACTCCCCCCTCCCCTCCTCCCCCCCCCGGGTGGGATGGGGGAGAGAACTGGAAGAGCACAAGTGAGAAAAACTCGTGGGTTGAGATAAAAACAGTTTAATAATTGAAATATTATAATAAATAATAATAATACACAAAGCAAGTGACGCACAGTGCAATTGCTCACCACCCGCCAGGTCACCCATGTATAATAATTTGTAGCAAGTAACCTGCTGCAGGCAGCACCACACTGCGCTCTGCCTGCTGGTTGCGGTTCTAGGCTTTTTCATTTCCTGTAGCTGTGGCGCAACATCAGAAGTGTTTTGAAGGCAAAACGACTATGAGCTGCAGGTCGGGAACTAGCTGAGGTACGTTTTATTCAGAACAAGCTATCGTACAGAAATAATGTCACTCACCCTTGTAAAAAACACTGGCTCCCATTTACATAGTTATAATAAACCTCAAAGGAAAAAAAATTCACATGTCTAGTTTGTGCACTCTGTTCTTAAAACAAACCAGGCAGCCACAGAGAACTTGCTGCGTGCGTACAAGGGGGCTAGCAAACCAGTGACTGCCAAGCACACTGCATCTGAAGCAATGGCACCAAGACCTCAACAACTGTGCCGCAGAGCATGCCTGACTCTGCTCTGCTCCCTGTAAGGGCTGTGTCGATGGCACTAAACCCTTACGAAGTGTCTGCAGATCTAGCAAGGGAAGAAAGAAGACGGACCTTGCATGCATCGCAAAAGCTGTCATGTCACGATGCACCTTAAGAGCGATACTGGCTGCCTCCTTATTTGCAGCTGTTGATTGCCAACTCCTGCTCACCTTACGTGAGGCTACCGTTCCCTCTGCCCTGAGAGGTGAACCGCTTCCCCGATCATTCCCCAAACGCTTTTGCTCAGAGGAAAACTTGGTAGCTTAGCAGTGTAAACAACAGGCTTTGCTAAAACAGCTCCTTTAGGTCCTTATCCTAAGATTCACCTGTCTCTCACTGTAGGTGTTCCCAAGTCGGATGTCTAAATCTGAGCCCATCACTCAGGAGTGGAGAGAACCTAATACCTTCAGAGGGTATTTAGTGTCACTGTAAAACAGACAACTAAAATACATCAGATGAATGAGACTCTGGAGGTGCCTTTTTCTATTGCTGTGATTAGCTCAGACTTCAACATCTAACTACAAAATGTCTAAAGTTAGGTCAAATGGAAAAAGGAATGAACATATATTTAGAGACTCGAAACAAACAAACAAACAAATCTTTGAGGGCACAAATCTAATTCATTTCAAAGTAGTGTTTGATCAGATTCTAAAAATGGTCCGGTTGCCTGTGACAGCAGGAGACCATAAAGGGCCTTTTTCCAGACATACACATGCAAGAGAGAGAATGATTTCTAGACATTTAAACATCCTTCTGGCATTAGCAATGAAGACAAAAAAGAGGCAATGACAACACATCATCATTCAATGATACCTTTGTAAGGGGCACCAAAAGCTGAGGCAACGCTACACAAGAAGTCACACTGGTACTTACATGCTGCCATCGGACCCAGGAAAGGTCACAAACTGACAACGCGGGATTTGATGAAAAGCGTGGCAGCAGCAGAGTAACGATTTCAAAGGAAGTAAACGATTTCAAAATGGACTGGAATTTTCAAATCCAAACTACTTTTTTTAAACTTAAAACCTCTGTCATGAAATAGATGTTTATATAAATGTGTGCACGTGTGAATGGGTTATACGGTGGTTTCTATAGAGCCTACTTTTCACTGACGCCAATGTCTTTGTAGCCTGTCCTGTCACTGAAAACCACATGGTTAACCTCACTAACAGAAGGTCCATCAACTCTACGTACTAATCAACTTTTTTTCCCCACCACAAGAGAACAAGTACAG